AATAACAAATTCATTATTTAAAAAATAATTTGATGAATATATTTTGACACTGCCTAACACCGTTTAAAGAGAATTAAATTCGATAAAAAAAGGTATAAATACAAAAGGGCGATTAATAGATGTATTCTCAATTAGATTTTCTTCATACTGAGAAGTGATTATTTCAGTTTCTTCAATACGCTTTACTTCTACCATAAATTTCATTTCCAATATTTTTAAATTAATTTTAAATAAAAAGTAAATATTAACATTTTTGATAAATGAATAATGTTTTTAAATCAAGCAACCTTTTTTTTCCATTTTTCTTTCAAATTAAAAGAAACCCTTTTCTTAAATATCTATAGTAGTATATTTATTAAAAAAAATAGTTTAATTGATTGAATGAAAGACCACTTGAAAAATGAAAAAATTTGTGGAATGAAATTAATCAAAAAGTAAAAAGTTTATAAAGAAAAAAGAACTCAAAACCCTTCAAATAATGCTTCTTGCAATTATTCTTTTCATATCATTGTCCTATGGACATACAAGTAGTATGAATGTCCCTTCTGTTTTGTTGCCATATCCAACAAAACAACACCCTATTGATTATACCATTGAAGCAACAAATGGGTGTTTTCAATGGAGTACATCAAATCCAACGGTTTCTACACTTTATCCTATTGGTGGAAAATGTTCTACACAATGTAAAATTTCTGTTCAAACCACAACAAATAAAGGAAGACAATCATTTTGGGTATATGCTGTTGATGAATTACAACATGTTAATTTAAGAACAGAAGTAACAATTGATTCTATTAATCATATTGATGTTGTTACTACGACACGTTTAATGAATAAAGATGATTATGAAGTTCTTGAAATTGCCGGATATGATGCTATTGGTAATAAATTTTCAACATTAGAAGGTATTCCAGTTACGTGGTCTATTGATAGTGTTAATGGAACAAAAGGAAGTGGAGGAGATTATGTTAGAATTGAAAAATTTTCAACTGCTGGACATACCCTTAAATTAAAAGCTAGTGAAACTATTTTAGATATGGAAAGATATCATCTTTCTACTTCAAAAGTCCTTGTTAAAGGTTTAGAACTTGGTAAAGCACAAATGACTGCACAATTAACTGAAGAACCAACTAAAGTATCATCTGTTATCCTTACTGTATTACAAATTCTTGTAGTTCTTCCAGAAAAAGATTTATATGTTCTTCCAAATACTCAAATACCTTATAAAGTATTTACCACTAAAAGAAATGAACTTGGTCCTCAAATTGGTATGCCAAATCCAAATTATAAATGGGTTAGTTATAATACAGACATTGTTTCTATTCAACAAAATGGATTAGCTTCTGCACATAAAAATGGAAAAACAGTTATTTCAGTTATGTACATTGAAACACCAGAGTCTATTCAAAAAAGAACAATTAATGTAGTTTCTCCTTATAAAGTTAGATTAGTATGGAAAGAAATCAGAGGTGTTTGGCAATGGATTGAAGGTAGAACATATGAAGTTAAACCGGAATTAATTGATAATAATGGAAATGCTATTTCATATGTTAATAATGCTGAATATAAAATTACATTAAATGGAGGAATTAAAATTATTTCAAATGAACGAGGATATACTTCATTTATTGTTGCTACTGAAAAAGAAGGAAGAGCCTCAATAAGTGCAACGTTTGTAAAAGGAAATGGATTTTCTGTAAGAGGAAATAGTGTTTCATGTATTCAAGATATTATTATTTCTCAACAAGTTATTGCTTCACCTAAAAAATTGAAACTAGCAGTTCCAGGTACTGCAGGATGTAAGATTATTGCCCATGGAGGACACGGAGAGTATGCATATTCAGTAAATGGGGATTCAGTTGCTGTTACTAATGATGGAGTTGTTTTTCCAAGGAGTGCAGGTAAAGTAAATATTACAGTTAGTGATTCAAGAAATAGTGAAAATTATGATATTGTCATTGTAGAGGCATCTGAAGTTGCTTCAATTGAAATTGGAAATGATGTGGCTGAAGTTATTGTTGGAGGTACATTAAATTTCACTGCTCTTGCAAGAGATGCTGATGGTGTTTATTTTGATACATGTTCTTCTGCTGCTGTAAATTGGAAAGTAATGCAACCAGAAATCTTTCAATTAAAAACAAATTCAACTTCACAAAAAGCAGAAATTTTAGCAATTAAATCAGGATCTACTACACTTGTTGCTACTTATGGAAAAGGAATTGCTGAAGTTCAAGTATTTGCATATGAAAAATTACAGTTGTCATGTAAAAGTTCTAGAGACCCATATATTGTTAAAGCGTCTGGATTTAAAATTTCATATGAAGGAGGACCTCTTCCTTGGTATTTAAATAAAGGACTTTATTTTACTAATATTACACTTAGAAATAGAATTGCAGATGTTTATAATATGGGAAATAATCAATTATTCTTTGTTTGTAAAGAATATGGTAAGTCAATGGTTATGGTCACAGTTGGAAATAAAATAGGAAAAACTCATAACTATACTGTTCATACTTCTGCTAAAATGGAATTTACTTGTAGTGAACCATCAGTTCTTATGTTAACTACACAAGAAGTTTATGAAAGTGATAATACTGGAAAAGAAATAGTTACTAATAATATCCCAGGAATTTGCAGAGAACGAGCTGTAAGTGGAAGTGATAGTGTTACAAGTGAAATGACAGTAAGAGTTGGAGAAGAGCTTGATTTAATTGGATATGTTAAGCCATCAGTTACTGGAATGTTTACTAATTCATCTTCTGTTGAGTATGTATGGTCAACATCTGATAGACATATGTTATCTATAAGCAAACAAATTGATAAAGAAGACCACTCTTCAATTCATGTTTCAGTTGGGGATAGTGTTGGAAAGGTTGAACTTAGACTTACTGCAATAAAATATCAAAAGAAATATTTCAATAATGCAAGAATGTCTGGCAAACTTGATATCAATAATAATCTGATTAGGACAATTACATTAAATGTTGTAGATGTTGTTAGTGTTTCTCCAAAAGTAGTTACTCTTTTTAATCACCCTGATAATTTTGTTAAATTAATTGCATCAAGTGGAAGTGGTTTTTATAACTTTACTACAGACACACCAAATAATATTATGATTGAACATTATGGAACTGATTCTAGTTGTATTGTTAGACCAAGAAATGAGTCAAATACTTATATTGTTGCTAATGATGTTTGTTTCAATGGAAAGAATGATGAAGCACGAGTTATTGTAACTGTTTCAGATATACATGGAGTAAATATTATTGTTACAGATCAAATTGAAATAGGAGATACTTCTGAATTAACATTTGAAGCTATTGATGTTAATGGCCAACCATTTGACGAGTCACAGTACAAGTTTATGGATATTAAAGTAACTACTGATAATTCTAATGTGTTCTTAGAAAAGAAAGGTGTTAAAAAATATTCTATTACTGGTTCTACTGTTGGAATGGCTATGATTGTTGTTACTATTAATCATGTTCAATCAAAACCATCAAGTGTTATTATTTATGAACACTTTTCATGTAGTCCAAAAGAAATTAATTTAATTCCACTTGCTCAAGAAGATATAAAGTGTCGTGGAGGACCTCCTCTTAGATCTACAGTTTCTCATGTTATTCTTAGTGGAAATGCTGTACAATTAAATGGAGATAAAGTCATTGGAGAAATTAAAGGAAGGTCAGTTATTGAAAGTAGGATATCATTTATTGAATTATTAAGTGGTGAAAAGAAAGAAAAAGGAAAAGAGAGTTGTGTAGTTATTGTAAGACATTTGACTGGGTTACGAATGGATGCACATCAAACTACTCTTGAAGTTGGAGGACAAACCAAAATTCGAGTTATTGGAGAAGCTGACGGAGTTCCTGTTAGCATTGCTGCAACTCAATTAGACTTTTCGTGGAGTCAAAGTGATGAGATACCCTTAGAAATATTATCTGTATATCATAAAACTAATATTACTGCTAATGAAGAAATGTCACATACTGTTCTCTTAATGGCTAAGAAAGCTGGTCAAACTCGAGTTAATGTAAAAATAGTCAATATACAAAAAGGATTACCTGCAGCTTATAAACAATTGTCTGCTTCTATTTTGATTCATGTCGTTGATCCATTCTCTTCATTATGTGCTGGAAGATGTAGAAATGTTATTGATATGGCTGTACATTCTACTACACAAATCACAACTAATCGTGAACCTTCTGAAGTTACATTCCAAATATGTGAGGGATCTGATATTATTACTGTTGATGCAGCTGGAATTGTCAAGTCTCAAGGAACACCAGGATCTGCTGTTGTTCATGTTGTTGAAAGTGAGACTGGAGAGACACTAAGTTATGTTGTAAAAGTACATAGAATTCATGCAATAGAATTATTACCATTATACAGTTCAAATGGATTATCAGTTGGAGAAACAATGAAATTTGAAATGGTACCAATTGGAGATAGGGGAAGAGTGTTAAAACCATCATATGATAAATTAGTTCAATTTGACTTAATTCCAAGTGGATCAGCATCAATTATTCAAAGTAGTAATTTGAGTGTTGTTGAAGTTACTGCTGCTAAACCAGGAAGAGTTATTGTTAGAGTTAGAAGTTCTGAAGGTGTAAGATTACAAGATGAAGTTAGAGTTACTGTTCATCATTCTGTTTCACCAATTAATCCAATTGTTACAGTTGGAAGTGAGATTAGATTTAAAACTGCTGGAGAAGCTAAATGGACAACAGAAGCTAGAAATATTATTTCTATTGATTCTAATGGTAGGGCTGTAGCTAAGTCTATTGGTAGAACAGTTGTGATGACTACATCATCAACTCCAGCACAAACAAGAGTCAGTGTATCACCATTAGAAAGTGCATCATTAGAACCTGCTACAGTTGGTTCAGGAAGAGTTCTTATTCCAGTAACTTTGTATGCAGAAGCTGGTATGGTAACTCAACAAAATAATGTTGACCTTAACTTAAATGCTTATTGTTCTATAGATCAATCAACATGGGCACACGCATCTGTAGAAATTGTTGATGGAAAGATTTATTGTTCTGTTGTTGCAATACCAACCACTTCAGGTAAAGTTCCTAATCAAGTTAAGTTAAGATTCAACGCAAAGGATGGTTCTGGAAAAGCTGTACAAACGGTTGCTGTGTTGCCATTTAGAGCTGGTATTGTTGCTAAACCAGGAAATTTAAAAATTAAAACTGGAGAAGAGGCTAGTTTAGATATATTCAGAGCTAAAGGAGATGTTATTGTTCGTGATTTAACTGGAAAATTACAAATTAGAGAAGTCACAAGAAGTGATGGAAGTGCTTCGTTTGTTGTTAGAGGAATGGAAAATGTTAAAGGAGATATTGAAATTCTTGATGGAACTGAAACACTTAAAGTTTTTGTTGAAGTTGGAGAGATTAAAGAACGAAAATTTGGAAGAACATCTGCTAATGCTTTAGGACCAATTGTTATAGCAATTATTTCAATAATATTTGCATCACTAGTATTCTTCTTATGTCAAAGAAGAACTGATAACAATCCTGCACAATATAACCCAGGATATGGATATTATAACCCGCAACAATATCGATATTGAATAAAGTAAGATTGATGATTTTTTTATTGGTTTTGTTAAAATCTTTTCTTTTTAAAAAAAAATAATCATCTCAGCAGATCAACTTTGAGATTGGATGAGTTAGAATTTTTTTTGCAAATTACAAAATGAATTAATCAAAACTATCAAAAACTTGTTTAAAAAATGAAAAATAGAAAAATAAAATATTTTTATTTTAATGTCAACAGCCAGATCACCACATCATTTCAGTGTTCTCAATCCTTTTCGTAGAAAAGGAGGGGACGAAAAAGAAGGAGATGAAAGAGGTGATAAAGAAGAATTCAGTCCAAAAGTCAAAGAAGAAAAAAAAGAGAAAAAAAAAGAAGAGAAAAAAGAAAAAGAACGAGAGAAGAAGGAACGAAAAGAAGAAAAGAAAAAGAAAGGAAGTGAAGAAAACATTTTAGATGATTTTCTCAGAAAAGCAAGGACTCAAAAACAAAAAACGCATGAAGAAATTATTGTTCCCGAAGAAAGAACTAAAAAAGAAAATAAAGAAATAACTGAAATTAAAAAAGATGAAACAAAAGAAGAAAATCTTTGTTTTTCGAAAGGACTAGATTCAAAAGAAAATAAAGACAATGTTTTGAAAGGTCAAACAGAGAATACTGAGAAAGAAAAAGGTATTGAAACAAAAGAAGAGTCACAAACAGTAGAAAAAGGTATGGAAAAATTAAAAAGTCAAGAAGAAAACTTAACAACTAAACAAGAAGATAAGAAAGACAAAACTCTAGAAAAACAAAGTCGGTTAGAACAAACAACCAAAAAAATTAAATCTATGATTTTTATGAAAGAACCTAGTCATAAAACTGAAGAAAAACCAAGAGAAGAAGAAGAAGAAATAGTTGGTAATGTTGATGATATACAAAAAGATGTGAGAGTTGTTATTGAAAGTATACCAAAGAAAAAAAAGAAAAAAACAAATTTTGTAAAAGAACGATTAAGAAGAAGTGGATTAAAAAGTCATGCAAGTGGAGTATCAACATCACATATGAATTCTGATGATGTTACAGATAGATTTTTTATTACTGATGAATTACCTTCATTTAGAAAAGAACAGTTTAATGTTACATGGGATGGATTTACTAAAGAACAAGAAGAGTCAATATTTGAAACTAAAGGAACATTTATTGAATATTTAGATCATTTTGAAAAAGAATCAAAAGAACAAATAATTTATATTGAAGATAGTTATCAAATTAAATTCGATGATTTATACAGAAATGCTAAGGTCTTTGCAAAGTCTTTGATGTGTATTGATGTTGCTGTTAAACAGGCTAGTGTTATGATTATCATGGAAAATGGAATACATTCAATTACTGCTGCACTTGGAGTTATGCTTGCTGGAATGTCAGCTGTTTATGTTCATCCAGGTTCATCAATTGAAATGTTAAAATTAATTATTAACAAATCTAATGTTAGAATTTGTTTGTTAGATCATACGTCAATGACATTTAGTGATTTATGGGATATATTTGATATAATTTTAATTAATGTAGAAGGAGAGTATAAAGAAATATATGAACCATATGAGTTTAAAGGAACAACAGAAATTAATAACAAATTAAGACATAAGTTAACTCAAAAAATGGTAGAAAAAATTCATCCTAAAGCACAGCCTCAATTTTATGATGCTGAAAATGGAGAAATTAGTATTGAAACAGAAAATGAATGTGTATTCACTCTTGAAAGTTTTTTATCAAGATCTACATCTGTTCCTGATGAAATACTTTATAAAAAAATTAATTCTATTACTACAAACACTATTGTTGAAATTGTTTTTGTTCCATCAAAACATGGAGGATATAAAGGAATAATTTGGACACAAGGGAATGTCTTGTCTCAAACGAATCAAATTATCACATTATTTTCAATGAATAATAAAACAAGGATATTACATCATTTACCAAATAGTTATTATTTAGAAAGATTATTTTGTTTTTATATTCCTATTATTACAAGATGTTCTATTTCAATTATTGATTCAACAAGTACAAGAGGTTTAATGATACCATTTTTAAAAGCACTTGAAAGACATAGACCTTCTTTATTATTTTCTACACCACGGGTATTTGAAAAATTAAATAAAATTGTTAAACAAAAGAAAATAACAAAAAAGTGTATTTGCGTTTCAACATATCATGCAAAATCAACTCAGGCTATTTCAATTTATACTGGAATTTGTTCTCCTGAAGCATGTGGTTTTGTTACAATGAATAGACCTGGATGCTTTGAGGAAAATACTGCTGGTCCTGCACTTGATGATATGCACACACAAGTCAATAATGGAAAACTAAGAATATGGGGGCCTTCAGTAACTCCAGGATATGTAAGTGGAGATGTTAGAGGAAAAAAAGGAGTTTTATTAAATCCAATAGTTGAAATGATTAATGTTGATGGTACTAAAATATATTCAGTTATTGGAAAAGTATCTCCAACAGTTGTTACTTCTAATGATGTTATTTTGCATTGTCCAATTATTGAAGACTTAATAAGAAAAATTCAAACAATAGATAATTGTCTTGTTGTTGGAGATGGAAGGAGATGTGCTGGGGCATTACTTACAGTAAAAGAAAATGAAGTACAAAAAGCATTTGGACCGGGTGATGTTAGAAGAAATAGTGAATATATGAAATGGTTAAAAAAGAGGGTTGTTGATCTTATGGCGGTTTTTCCATCATATATGAGGATTAAAAGATTTATCATTGTTAAAGATAGTGTTACTGATGAATTTCCAATTCAAATTAAACCCCACTTAACAAATGAAGAAAGAATTCGACTTTATAACAAATTTAAAAAAGTAATTGATATGATGTATCCAAACGAACCTTATTGTGAAAAATAATTTAGTTAATTGAATCATGTTTATGTATTATTTGTTTGGTTTTGGTGAAAAGACCAGACTATTTCCATCAAATATATTTGGAATAAATTTTACTTCTTTCGTTAGATCAACTTTTCTTCTATCTTTCCACACTGTATAATTAAATGCAGTAAATGCCTATAAGTATATAAATAAATGTGTTTTTTAAAAAAAAAGATTAATACAAAATACAATGAATAAACAAACGACTGAATACTGTTTATGAGTTTTATCTGGTTGAGAGACAAAGATATCTTTTAATTTTTTAAAAGATGAATATGTCAAAAAACTATATGTGCAATAATCATTTTTAATAAAACAAGAATCAGTAATCATAATATATTCTAATTCATATTGAGATAGTTCATTAAACTCAATTGTTTCTATAAATCTATTGTCATCACTAAAATGATTAAATAAAACTTGGTATTGTCTCCAATTTATTGGATTTCTTACTTTAATTGTATAAAAACCTGTTTTGTCACAAAATATTGGGTCATAACATCGTAACTTTGTTGCGTTATAATTTACATATAATTCATTTTTCTTATAGTCATGTAAAATGTTATCATTTAACCATTCTACAGAACCTCTTGAATTGGGACATACTGAAGTTTCAGCTTCAATAGAAACATTTCCAGTATAATACGTTAGTGAATGAAGACCTCCATGAATAATAAATCCCCCACCAGCAAATGTATCATCCCAACCAACAACACAATATGTCTTAATTCCAATATTAGTAATATCATTAGTTACATGAAATGTTCTTCCAGATTCAACTGGAATTTCAAATTCATTTCCATTAATTTCAACATTATTTACTGCATCTGTTAATGTTAAAAGAACTGGTGAAATTCTAAGCAAATCCTTTGCCTCATTAATACTATATACACTTTTAATTGACTCTATTGTGATATACCATCCTTGTTGTTCTGTTTCATTATAATGATATGTGTAGAGACCATCAAATAACTGTGGAACAGACCTTAAAATTGAATAGCTTAATGAATTATTTAGTGCTAATGAAATATCATTATTAAGAACAGCATTATTTGGAAGTGATTGATGATAAAACAAAGAAAGAATTGGACAGGTGAGTGTATCACAGTTTACTGGATACGCATGTGGTGAATAATATTTTTGTTTCCAAAATGTTCCATTTGGTACTTTTTCTGTGAGAGGAATAATAATTGAGTTATTTGTAAAAAATATTACTAAAATTAAAATTGAACTTGTTGACATGGTAATGGCAAATAATAGACCAAGGAGTACATACGATTTTGAACTACCTTCTGTTATTTTATGATTATCATTAAATTGTCTATACCCGCTGTTATTCATTTTTGTTTTTAAAAACAATATATTTTTTAGTTCCTATTAATTTTTTAAAGTTTTTTGTTATATTTATTATGTTAAAAAAATTACTTGTTTGATATTTTTTTATTGTTTATTCCACTTTACTTCATTTCATATTATATTTAATTAATTATTGAGTTATTTATCCTCTTTTTTTGAAGGACTCTTTGTATATTTTTCATAGCCTCAATCCTTAACAAATAATAATTGTTTACTATTTAAAGACTTCTAATAAAACAAAAAAATAGTTAGTCAATTGTTTTTTCAACACACACTCTATAGAAAATAAAATCACTTTAATTGAAAGAAGTTCATCAATACAAATACAAATTAAATAGATACCATAACTTAACTTTTCAAAAAAGTTAGTGTAATAAAACCAGTAACAAAACAATATATTCAGAAATCAATATAAACAAATAAATAAAACATAGATTTTTCTAATGGATAATTGGTAATAAAAGAATCTAATAGCTTCAAAACAGAATTGTAAAAAATGAGAAATGAGAAAAATATAAATAAAAAACTAAAAAAAATTAAAATAAAGTTGGAAAAGATGAGTGAAAGTTATTATGAACAATATTTAAGATCAAACAATCCCAATGAATTTAAAGAATTAAAGAAAAGATTAGAAGAAAGTAATGATGAAGGTGAACAAAAAGTGATTAATCAAAGTAATATTGCTTTATTAGAATTACTCATATCTCAAGATTACAACCAATACATTACAACTATTGTTCCACTAGAAACAAATGAACCCACATATTTATTATATAATAAGGCTGTAGGGTTATTAAGGGTAGGGAAACCAACGGACGCATTATCTCTCTTATCAGAATCTTCAAATCGTGAAGAAGAATCACAGATTAAATTTTTATCATTGATTTTATATTACTGTATTGTTAGTTCAATGGGTTCAATAACATTTAATTTAGAACGAATTACAGTTGAATTCATTAATCCAATTTATGTTCCAGGAACAATTAATTATATTGAATCACAATTGGTATTAATGAAAAAGTCAATTCATGAAAATAATATACCTGATGCAATTTCACATATTAACTGTGTTTGTAATTCTTGTCGTGATACTACTCGAAAGCCTTATTATCAAGCACTTTTTTGTTATTTAAATAATGACTTTGATGGAGTACGTACATTACTCCAGGATGGTGAGTCTCCATTAAAAGATATTGGAAATGCTTGTACTTTTGCTCGTTCAGGAAAACCAGCTGTAGCAATATACATGTTACAAAAAGCATTTCATTGTTTTGGCCATAAAGACGAACCAGTGAAAAGTTCATTAGAAGAACCAGCAACAACACTGTATCCCATTGGATGGAAACAAACAACAACATATAATTTAGGACTTTGTTATTTGTTAGAAAATAAACCCATTGAAGCACATGCTGCATTTGTTACATTAGTAGACTATTATAGATATAGTCCATTGTTATGGTATCGGTTGGCATGTTCTTGCATTCAATACCATTATAATTACATTAAGAATGCACAAATGAAATATCAATACGTGGGTACATCATCTGCTCGTCATGTATTATTAAATCAACAACCATTAAATCCAGAAAATCCGCAACTACCATTATCTCTTGGAATGCAATATATTCGAAATATGACAACTTTATTACGTACTAATTCAGAAAATTCAGTAAATCATAAATTAGCATTAGCTATGCACTATGCAATGGGATATATAAGTTATTGGAGTGGGGATTATCTTTTAGCTAAATACTGTTGGGAAAAAGTTTATACATCTAAGAATCATCAACTACGAATTTCTGCGTTGTCATATTTAGTTAAAACATATTGTTTTCTTCAATTACCCAAAGAATCTGAAAAAATTCTTCAAGAATTCTTTGTTTCAAAACCACAAGAAAATAATGAAGATGTTAATTATGCATCAGCTATGGCTTTAATTTTTATGGGAAAATATGAAGACTCATTAAAAGTAGTAGATAAAATGGTTGAAACACCAGAGACTGATGCTCTTAAGATTTTTATTTTATTGAATTTAAACAGAAAAGATTTAGCTGCTGCTGTTGTAAGAAAATCCTCACCTATTCAAGTACACAAAAACGTCTTGTTTATTAATTATGACTAAAAAAACGAGTTGATCAATAAATGAAAAAGAAGAACAACTTTGAAAATTGAATTTGTTTTTCTAAAAAAATCAATTATGGTTTTAGAATTACTGTAAAGAAACAAGAAGAGTAAGTGTTATTTTTGAAAACATCCTAATAAGTAATTTGTTTCATTAATTACCTTTTGTAACTCTTCCATTTGTGCAATTATCTAGAATATGTCATTATTAATAAATTAAATAATAAACAAACAAACAAAAAAACAAACATTATTTTTTGAATTATCATCAGAATAAACATAAAGGGCTTTTTGACATGTTAAATATGCCACTTTAGCTATTTGCAGTGTTTTTAAGTAACTTTCTTTTAATTCAGCTTGAATTTGTTCTGTATTTTGATTTAATTCTATGTCATCTATATGACTTGATGCAGATATTTCTTGAACAACTTCTGGTTCATAATCCCAAGGTGGAATATCATTGTTTAATCTCACAGCAAGTTTATCATCACTTAGAGTAAAGAAGTCAATGTTATTAAATTGTTCATTCAATGTATTTGTCCATTGTTCTTGAGAAACTCTAAACTGTTCTAACTTAGAAAAGAAATACCAATGATCGATAATAAATTGCTGGACCTCTCCTTGTAAAGTAAAGAAATCTCTTTTATTATATTTATGTTTTAAACTATACACAATCAACCGAGCAATAAATATCCATTGTAGTGGTTGTCTTTCTAATAACATTTGTTGTTTATCACATAATGGACAAAAACATAGCTTTAATGAAGTAGGTTGTTGTTTCATTGGGTCACTATCACCCGTTCTCCCTGATGCTGAAAACCCATTATAATAAGGAGGTGGTTGAATTGGATTCATGATTTTTAAGATTTAAGAATTCCTTTCATTTTTTTTTACTTCAATAAAAAAGAAAAAAATTGTTTTTTTGTTTTTATCTTTTAGGTTGGATAATTTTATTTTTGATGGAGGGAAAAGCCACAAATCATAAGTTTTGTTCTGCTTTAACATAAATTCAATTCACTGTCAACTGGTCTCTTTGTCATAAACATTGTGAAGGAAATGGTAGCTATAATCATTGGGAATGAAGGAAGAATACCATAATATGATGGACCTATGAAAATAGAAACTGGGGTTGATGTTTGGTCAACAAAAGGGGTAAAAGTAGATTGTAAAGAAATCCAGGAAGAATGAAGGAATGATAGGACAAGTAAAGAATTTGTTTTTAGAGCAAAGAAACACAAAAACACTCCAAGGAAAAAATGAATCAAACAAACCATTAAAATACCGGTATAAGGGGATCCTGGGTAATTTTCATGTGGATAATAATCACCAAGAATGACAAGAACAATACTATAGATTGTAAATATAAAAGAAGAAATAAATGCAGAGAAAAGAGGGTGAAGAGATTGAAGAAGTTCATTAAACAAAAAACGTCTAAAAACGTATTCTTGAGAAAGTGCTATTCCAAATGATGTTATTGATGAAACTAAAATTTGGATAATAATTGAAATATATACAGTAAATCGTATCCAACTTTCTGATAATGAAATATTATTTAACTCATTAATTTTTTGTTGATGTATTACTTCATTCATTACATTTAATGAACACATTGATGGATTAATGCAAAAGAAGATAAACGATCCAAATACCATTAGCATTGGCATAAGTACAAGAGAAATAACATACCACCATTTTTTAATTTGTGGTTCCTCTATTTTAAGAGTTGAAATTGGTTTATGAAACACTTTTTCTGAAATAATTCCAGAAATGAATAATAAGAATGCGGGAATAACTAGAGTAAGAGTTTTAGTCATAGAATAACTATAGGAGTATATTTTTCCAGATGGTAACAATGTTAGTTGTAATCCATAAACAACAACGAGAGAAACGATAATATAAACACAGATAAATAAATAATGTATTTTAATTGGGAATTTAATTAAATTCTTTAATAAATACATTAAATTAAAAATTTAAGTTCATCTTTTGGTAATTTCTGAGAAAAATAAATATAATAATTGAACAAAATGAGATTTATGAAATAAAGATAAAATTCGAATAAACTTATTTATTTAAGTATTATTTTTTTATTATAAATTTATAAAATTAATTTAAACAATTTGAATAGATTCTTGAGAACTTAAAATATATAACGACCCTAATGGCTGAAGAACCTACTTGTAACACTAAGGAAGAACTTATCAATGAAGCTAAAGAGATGAAAGAATGGTTTGAAAATGAATTAAAAATTCAATGGAATCCAATTACTTATAATAACCCTGATGTTAAATTATATGATTTACCAATGAGAGGATATAGTCATAGAACTCGTTGTAGAGTTCATTGTAATTGTACTTTTGAACAGATGCTTAAATTTAATCAAGAAACTAATATTGATGAATTAAAGAAGTATGATAAATCTCTTTTGAATTACGAAATTTTTGATCAAGTAGAGGGTACTAATATTCTTGTAACACATACTGCTTTTTCAGTTACTTGGCCTGTTACTGCAAGACAATTTGTTTCTCTTCATGATAATTATCCAACTGAGAATGGACATATTTTTATTCAAACATCAATCAAGAATGACAAAGTTAAAACTAATAAAAAGTACGTCACTGCTTATAAGAAATCTGCACTTTTAATTGAAAAAGACCCAGAGGATCCTAAAAGATGTTATATTGAAAGAATTATTGAAATGGATCCTCGAGGAAGTATTCCTACTTTTGTAGTCGCTTCGAATAAAACAAATGATGCTGAAAGAATGTGGGAAATGAAACTTTTTGTTGAAGAAAAAGTAAAGAAAGGTGAGTTATAATTTTTTTTTATTTAGTATTCTGTTTTTACTTTTATTTATTAAATATGGTTGTGTTTATAATTTATTATTTATAAATGAATATTAATTTCATTTATTAAGATTTTGCAACAATCTTTTTTAAATAATTAGATTCTTTGGAAAGATATTTTTTTAAAATGAAAGATTTAAAAAAAAAATAATTATAACTTCTTGATCTGAATTTAAAAAAGATTTTAAAAGTAGTGCTATAGAAAAATAATTGCATTATATATTTCAAGATATTAATATATGAGAATATTAAAAATAATAAAGTTGTAACATAAATTTATTAAAAAAAAAAAAGAATTTAAGAAGATAATAAGAAAATAAAAATATTTTAATATTTTTTTAAAAAAGAAATTTTTGTTTTATTAAAAAAAAAATAATTTGAAAAATGAAAGAAATAAAAACTAATTGATTTATTCTACGCTATCTGCATCTCTCATTTGGGCTACCCAACAATCAGAACGATTTAAATCCCACCATCCATAAGTAATATTTTTAGAAATAGTTTGACTCCACTCTTTACATTTCTCTATACTATCAAATGATAACAAACAACTAACATCATCAATTTTAATATTTAATACATTAGATGAAAGCATTACTTCTGTTTTATCATTAATACAAATTAATGCTTCAATTTTAACTTTTTTTGTTGCTTTATTTGCTGCAAGAAGTGGTTTATTCTCTTGAACAGCTTGTTCTTTAGCAAATACTAATTCATCACTAAATAAGAAAGCGTAACAATGTTTCTTTTTATAAGTAACCATAGCTTCAGAATACATGTATCTATTATTGACAAAAATATTTTCATCTCCAAGTAATTGTGAAACATATTTTAATTCATCTCTTTTCTTTCCTAATTCATTAACAAGATTAGAGAAATAATTAAAATGAGTGAATGCTGTTTTAAGAAATGGTTGATCTGGATGTCGAGGTCCTGTATTTTTAATAATTTCTTTTAATAGTAATGGGTATCTCATGAGACGTTGTACTGGTTGAATGAGTAAATCTTCAAAAGATGGACGAGTATTTTTTTTAATGAAAATATTTTGTTGACAATCATCAATAAATTGTTTTCCTTCTTCAGTTTGTTTAATTTTATCAAAAATAGCTTTAGCATAATTATAGTCAGTAGTATATGGTAATAAATAACGAGCTAATACTACCCATTGATCTGCATATTTACCAAAAGTAAAATCACATTTCATATTTTGTGGGGTTAATACTTTATTCATTTCATTTACCATTTGTTGTGAACAATCAATACATTCATTTAATGTAGAAAATAGTGTATTATATTCTTTATTACCAAATCCATCAATCGTTTTATCAATAATAAGTTGTTGCATAGGATCTTTAAAGTATTCTTTTAATAGTTTCATATTCTCACATAAATTAAATTCTGTTGTTTTCCATTCTTCAATTACCATTTGTCTTGTTTTCATTTTTTTAAAAACAAACATAGAACGTACTAACCATGACTCAATACCTAACTGCACAATAATAAATTTTTTAAGATCATCACCAATAAATGTTGTAATTTTAGATGCTTTCTTTGGAATAGATCCAGCCAAATTACTTTTTCTACGTTCAAATCCTTCATCAAAATGTCTTCCACCACCTAATATAATTTTTGTTTCTGAAATATTTTCTTTTGATGGGCAAAAGACTTGATCAATATCTATTAATTGTTTTGGATTCATTTCTTTCTGAGACATTTCAGAAAGGTAAGCATGAACCAAATCTAAATTATCATAAAATCTTCCAAGTCCTTCTAATACTTGAATATTAGATAACATTGCTTCTCCATAATAAAAAGATAATGTTCCAAATGCATTTTCTAATAAATTTTTCCAACTTCTATCAATATCCATTATCATAATTAAATTTAATGTTTTTGTATTTAACATAGCAAGAAAATATGCAATAATTTCTTCACAGGTTTCTTCATTTAATCCAAGTAATTTTACTGAACTATTAATCCCAACTCCAAATTGAAGAAGAATTGAAATGGTTCGAGCCATTTTTTTTACTGTTAATTTCTTTTCACAAAAAACACTTCCTCTTAAATATCTTAAATAAGTTCGAAATTCTTTTTCTTCAGTTCTCCCTCCTCTTAATGAAATGACTTTTCCATTATTAATATCTGTCTCATTATATTTAACTATCGTTTGCATTATTGTAGTTCGTGCTCTATCATTATACAAATATTCCTTTGGTACTTCTATTATGTGATTATTGATAGAAAATAAAGCATATTCAATATCATTTGAAGTAGATTCTGTAACCCATCGCTTTGCAAAGGTGTTAATCATAAAATCTATAAAATCTCTTTTTAAAAGTTCTTCTTTTTTCTTTTCAATCTATTTTATTTCCCTTATTTTTTCTTTTCCTTTTTTTTTCATAGAGAGAAAGAAATAAATTAAATTAGTATAATAAATTAGTTAATAATTATAATATAATCTATTTGAAGAAAATCATTTGTTTATATTTCATAAAATAACCAGTATATGTTACATGAATAAACCTTGATGGTTATTGATTATTAAAGCACATTTAATTTAAAACCACTGACATCCAATTCATTGGTTATCTTGTTGTATAATGTGGGAATCTAGTTTTATGTTGAAAAATATCTATTATTCTTACAGTATTTAAAACTTACTTCTTATTGATAAGAAGAATTGAAGGAAACTCTCTTTCACAAAACAAACAAATTAAATGTTCATTGTGTCATATTAAATAAAAAGTTGTAATAAATCACTAACAAATGAAAACAATATAACAACATAATTTGCAGTTAGTGTAATTAAAATGTATAATTTTAGTTAAATCAAAAGAAAGTGACTTAAAAAGTATCAGAATTAATTCTCTTTATTGAATATCAAAAAAAAGAGTTTTTATATCAAAAGAATATACAAGAAGAATTTTATACTACTAAAAGTATCTAATGAAATAATTAGAGCTCTTTCAATTAACTAACTATTTTATAAGCATCAGATTATTATTAATGAAAATAAATAAGGATTTTCAATAATAATATTGATTCATTAATTTATATATAAATTAATATATACCTATATATTAGTTACTCAATAAAGAAAATAAAAAGAAGTTAAACAGAATAAAAAGAAATAATTAATTGAAAATAAAACAGATTTAAATTGATTTGATTCTTCTAATTTGTTGTTTAATTTTTTCATTCTGTAATTCCATTTGTCTAATTTTTGCTTTTAATTCAACATTAATTTTTGTCATAGTATTAATTTTGTCTTCATTCCATTGTTTAATATTATCTATTGATGCAGCAACATTAGTTGGTGCTACATCTACTAGTTGATTTCCTTTTACAAGACTAAAAATGTCATAGAAGTCATCTGAATAACAATTACTAAGAACATTCATATTTTCTTTAAGAATAGTAATAAGATGACATAATGATTCTTCTTGTTTTCGTTGATCAACCATACCAACGTCCATTCCATCTGGAAAATTAATAATATAATCATATACAATATCAATTGTATTTTTAAATGGTGTCATTGGATCATTTTGATTACGTTGTGATTTTTCTGGTTGTTTTAACCATTCTGAAGTAGCTTTTTGAAGTATTTTTAAAAGTGAAGGATAAGATATTAATGGAAGGAATAAATAACGAAGAAAGAATAATGTTGTAAATACTTGTCTTTTCTTTTGATTGTCTAATGAAGGTGAGACATAACAACACAATTCTCTAATAATTCTTTTATGATGAGAACAAATAGAATGTAAATTATTAACAAGATAATTTGTAAATGATTTAACCCATTTTGTTATTTGATATTGTTCGTTTATTGAGGGTTGATCAGTTTCTTGAATAATCATATCAATCATATCAATTAGATAATGATTACAATAAGTAATAACATAAGTATTATACAATCGAATAAAAGAAGTATTTCCTCTAAAAAGAGGAATTCCTTGTTTTGATTTATTAATTTCTTTTTCTCCAAGTTTAGTAAATAATAATGTAACTTTACCACGAGATGAGTAAAATAATAATAATGAATTAATTGCTGATAGGGACACAGTTTGTTTTAATAACTAAATACATTATTATTTCAATTTATAAATTTATTTAATTAATAATTAATAATTAACAAACAGAATCACAATAACAATATAGAAGAGATGGTGTATCACAAAATAATAAAGATCTTAGTGCTTGTTCTGGTGATTTCTTTTGAATAGGTGAAAACATTGATTTATTGTCAGTAAAACGAGGTGATAATAATGCTCTTGAACGAAGTGTTGATTGTTGACATTCTTTAAATGGAGTATCATGTAATTCATTACAAGCACTAGTTGATAATTTAAGTTTTGGATAAATACGTGGTGAAATGACCCTTGTTCTTACAGCCATTATTTATTAAGTTCCTTTCTTTCTCTTTTTATAATGAGAAAATATTCTAAAGAAGAGTATTTTATATGATGACAATTACTAGCGATTTTCATTTATTTCCTTGATTTACTTCTTTTATAAATTAGAAATTTTGATTATGATTGGAGTTAATTATTAACTCCTTTATTTCTATTTTAATTTCTTTAAAACGTTATTTGTTTGTATTTTTTAAATGTCGAAAAAAGTGACTTATGGATTAAAACAGATTTTATTATCTGGTTCAAAATTGAGACGTTGGAAATTACTAAAAATTTTGATACTTTCAAAAACCCAATTCTAATTTTATATATTTTTCACTACTTTTTAATGATTCGTCATTCCCATTATTTATACTGTTTTTCTTTACTGAAATATTACCTTCTTTATTAATTATTTTCCTTCACTGATAACCATTTTCTTACGAATTATATTCTTCATTATTCTCATTAGAAATCGTTTCATAATTATTAAAAATTATTTCAAAAAACTATAATTTTTAATAAATTCCTTTTTAGTTTAACTTATTATAATAAAATCATTGTAACTTAAACTAAAAAGATAAAATAATGTCAACAACAATTTATATTGAATTATTTTTACTTATCTATTTTTAATCAAAACTTTTTTCTAAAAATATTCAATAAATTTTGTAAATCCCCTAAAAATATATTTTTTCTTTTTAAAAATCATAATTTCATTTTTTTAATTACGAAAATATCATTAAAAGTCTTTCAAAATACCATTTTGATTTTAATTTATTTTAACATTTCAATCATTAGTTTCCTTCATTCCTCATGAATAAAAATCGCATTTGAATACTTGGTTTGTTCATCCTTATTGATTATATCCTTTATTTCTTTAAATGAACCTCTTTGTATAGTTCTTTAATTAAAATGTATAATTTTAAAGAGCACAAATGTTATTCTTTGTTTTACATAAATAATGATTTATTGTAATAAATCAGTTCATTGATACATTTTATTTAACAATATCTTGTATTATCTTTTTTTATTTATTTCTCTATATGTTATGAATAAATTAATTGTTTCAATCCTTTAAATTTTGCTTTGTTTTTTCTTTATTTATTTAGGTATTTATTTTCCTTTAATTCTATTATATTTAATGTTTGTAAATGATAACTGTTGTTTGATTTTATATTGAATCATTATCTTTTATGTTGTCTTTTATTTTTAGTGTGTTTACAAATTATCTTATCATTAAATACACAAACTTCTTATTGTCATTGTTGAAAAAAAGGCTTGTGGGTGTGTGTTGTATCACATCATTTATATTTCATTTAAATTAAATCTAATAACCATCTTATGCTAAATAAATGATATTAAATATTTATTTATTAATACTGTTTACTTGCACTATATCACTTATTGCTCTTTTTCACTCTCTCTTTTAACTTAGTCCTTTCTACATTAAAGAACGTTTTTCAAAAATTATTGAAAACAAATTGTAAACCTAAAAAATTTATTAATTGAACTTGACATCTAAGTAAAGATCACCCCTTTTTCCCGTTGTTCCAATTGGCATACCATACCCTTCGCATACCCCTTGAATACCTTCTTGCCCTATTATCCTAACAGGAATAGTATTTCCATCAAACAATTTAATAGGGCAATCGACCGTTTGGTTTCTATACTTTTGTGGAATAACAATAGTTTGGATAATATCATTTCCTTTTCTTATGAGACCTTCTGTTTGTTCTGTTTGAGCAATAACGATTAAATCTCTTATTCTCCCATCGATTGGTGTTCCACAGCAATCAAATTTATATCTAACACCTTCTGGTTGTCCAGCCTGGATTGGAATAACAATTCTGTTATTATTCACTTCTATTACCTCTTCTTTTCCATTAAAATAATCTGAAATTGGAAAATCACAAAATACAATCTCTGGCTCAATTGGTGTTTTCAGGTAATCTATCTCTTGCTTTAATTCTTCAATTTCATCATCTTTTACTTGAATAGTATTGTCTTTTTCTTGGATAGTCTTTTTTTTATTTTCAACTTCTTCTTCTTTCTTTTTAATTTCACAACCTCTCTTTTCAATTTCATTATCTTTTACTTGAATAATATTTTCTTTATGTTTGATTTCATCATCTCTCTTTTTAATTTCATAATCTCTCTTTTTAATTTCGACTTCTTTATTTTTAATTTCATTATCTTTTACTTGAATAATATTTTCTTTATTTTTGATTTCATCATCTCTCTTTTTAATTTCGACTTCTTTATTTTTAACTTCTTCTTCTTTCTTTTCAATTTCATTATCTTTTACTTGAATAATATTTTCTTTATGTTTGATTTCATCATCTCTCTTTTTAATTTCATCATCTCTCTTTTTAATTTCATTATCTCTCTTTTTAATTTCATTATCTTTTTCTTGAATAATACTTTCTTTCTTTTTAATTTCTTCTTCTTTATTTTTAATTTCTTCTTCTTTTACTTGAATAATATTTTCTTTATTTTCAACTTCTTCTTCTTTCTTTTTGATTTCATCTTCTTTATTTTTAATTTCTTCATCTTTCTTTTTGATTTCATCTTCTTTATTTTTGATTTCTTCATCTTTTTCTTGAATAGTACTTTCTTTCTTTTTAATTTCGACTTCTTTATTTTTAATTTCTTCTTCTTTCTTTTTAATTTCTTCATCTCTCTTTTTAATTTCTTCTTCTTTCTTTTCAATTTCTTTATCTTTTTCTTGAATAATACTTTCTTTATTTTCAACTTCTTCTTCTTTCTTTTTAACTTCTTCTTCTTTCTTTTTAATTTCATTGTCTTTCTTTTTAATTTCATCCATAAGACCAGCGATTTCCTTTACACTTGTTGCGATCCTTTTATTAAATTCAATTACGTCCAATTTCAATTTAGACATTTCTTTGATTTCTTGCTCCTCTTTTTGTTTATCTTTTTCAGCACCATCTCTACTTTCTTGGTTATTGCATTTATTGGGGTCTTCAGTGACTTTTTTAGTTTTATCATCTCCTTTATCATTTGAGTCTCCATGAGTTGATTCTTCTTTATTGTCACACCCACTGACCACATCCTCTCTTTGATTGTTAGTTTCGTTCTCTTTCTTTTCTTCGTTTTCTTTTGTTGGACCTACATTTTCTAGTGTAGCACAGTCCTTGTGTTCTTTACTTTGACTTTCTTCATGTTTATCTTCTTTGTCATCTTTTTCTTCTTGTCTAATGTCTTTTTGTCCTTCTTCGTCTTGGTTGCCTTCTTCTTGTTTGACACCTTCATTGTTACCTTCTTCTTGTTGTTTATTTTCTTGTGTAACTTCTTCTTTGTCTTTTTGTTTAACTTCTTGTTGTTCAGTGCCTTGTTTGTCTTGTTTATTTTCTTCTTGTTTTTCTTCTTCTATAATTTCTTCTTTTATAACTTCTTCTATAACGTCTTGTTGGGGGATGTTATCTTCTGTATTTGTAAACAGTTCAGGTTTATTGTTGCCAACTTCTTTTATTTCATCTTTTTGAACTATTTTCTGATCTGCGTTGTTAGGTTTATTGTCAATGCTTCCAATCCCTCTAATTTGTAGTGGAAGGTCAATGATGTCTTCACCAAGCTGCAGTGTCACTGTGGTGATCTTACTTTGATCTAAAGCATATAGTAATCTTGCTAGTTGGTCACAACCTCTTCTTAACTCTTCTCCTTTGGCAGTCTTGATACTTTCGTAAATTGAGATAATGTTAGGACCAACATTATTAACAAGTATAATGTTTTGTATCATTTGGTAAAGCTCTTGCATTTTTTGTTTAATTGCCTCATCAGATTGACACCCTGTTAAGAAGCTTTCTTCTTTCTTCACAAAGTTAACACCTTCACTGATTGGTAGTGTTATACAAGACAATAAAACATTGTTAATGAAGTCTAAAGTATTAACCATTTCAGTTGGTGACTCTACATTTGGTGTGGGTATATTATATCGAAACAATAATGAGATGCATTGGTTAACTCTTTCCACATATTGATTAAATTGTTCTATATTAGCCTCTTCTGTTTCTTTTTTGGATTGGTTAAATAAAGAAGCAATTTTGCATAAAGCATTTAAAGATTCTTTTAGTATATGAAAAGTGTTTGTGTTTTGCATTTTGTATGAATTAATTAATATTAGATCTTTTTCAATGACAAAATAAATGATGTTTATTATTTTTTTTTATTTCTTAAAGTCATAAATATCACAAATATTATGAGTTGGAATTTCAAATAAGATTAAAATTATTAAATTGTTATGAAATTTGTAGATTTGCTCATTAATAGAACACTTTTAGTTGTGGAGTTTAAGAAAGAGTCAAGTTTATTAAAGTATAAGTAATAAGAAATGTCTTAATACTGAATATCAAAAGAAGAAAACTAAATAAATGAATAAAATAATCTAAGATGCGAATTACTGTAAAGAAATAACACTAAAAGCACGTTGTTGAAACGTTAAGAAATCAAATATTCAAATGTACGTAGAATGAAATAACTAACAATGAGTCATTGACTATCTTTATATGAATAATTTTAGGTTATAACTCTAATTTTTGTTTTCATTTATTATCTATTTTATGTTGTTTTGAGAATGGTTTACACCTATTACAATGAATTAAATTCTCATTAATTATTTTATTTTATTGTTGTTATTTTGTTTTATTCAATAGACAAATAATACAAACAAGTATATAACTGATTTAATTTAATGACAAGAATTGGCTGTACCTAAGAAATTCAATTTATTCATTTCACTAAACTAGCTAATTAACGTCAGAAATCAATTCAATATCCCTTTTAGTATTTATGTAATAGAAAATGAACAATAAACTAAAAGAATAAACACAAACAAATCATTAGATAATATCTACATAAAAAAAAGAATTAATTAAAAAATGAATTTTACTCATTAATCAAAAGAACCACCAGAATTAATACCCTCTACAAAAAATTTATTGACAAATCGAGTAATGAAAAGTTTGTTATTATGTAATAAGTGCACATAAAAAGACATACCAATGAAAAAAAATTATTATTAAAAATTTATAGTATTAAAAGTACGTGGTTCCAATGAGAAGTTATATAGCATATATATAAGTAATGAATTAAAGAATAAACAGTAGTTGTTTCAAATACAAAGTAGATGAAATACCTTTTAAATTGAAGAGATAAGTGATGATAAAATGGCAAAAAGATAATATTTTGTTATGTATAACTATTTTAATAATAGAACTAAAAATAACAAGAATAAATTCTAAAGTATTCTAATTTATTCTAAGAAATAGTTATAGAACTATCAAATCATCATTTAGTTATTGTCTTATTGAAAATGACACAGTTAGAAATGGTTTATTTAATGAGTGTAGCTAAATACCTTAGAAGCTATGAAGAGTTAGTTAAATTTTCAATGATAAATAAGAAAACAAATGAAGGATTACAGTCATTTAAAGAGAATTTATATTTAGATAAAGACAATGTAATAAAAGAATTAAAGATATTTGGTGGAATGACTAATTATCAAGGAACAAATATTATTTCTTCATTAAAAACAAATTATGAATATTATGATATTGATGGAAATATTCAAGGAATTCCTATAAACAAGATTCGTAATTGGAAAACAGATAGTCTTTGTAGTAATATCAGTGAAATGAAATCATTAAAAAAGCTTAATATCACTATTGGTGGTGATATGCAAGGATGGATTTGTGCAAAAGAAATGAATTGGAAAGGGTTGAGAGATATAGAGACATTAAGATTTGTTAGAATTACTCTTGAAGAAGAGCCTTCTACACCACTTGAAGAAGATGAAATTAAACAAGTTTATGAAGAGTTTATTTCAATTCTTAAAGAAATTGGAAATCGACCAGAAATTATAGTTGAAGGAGTTGCATTAGAATATGTCCAATCAATACTATCACTTGGAAATAATATTAAAGTTATCAAAAAAGTAAGGAGTATTGATGGAATTGAGGAATTAAATAAAAACAAACGATTTATTGCAATTATTGATGAGATAGAAGGAGAAGTTCTTCCATTAATTGAGAGTGGAATACTTACTAAATATGGAATTACCAAAGCAACATTTACTTGGGAAGATGAACATGGAGAAGGAAAACATCCTACAATAGATTTAAAACAATTTGAGTGCTTAAAAAGTATTCATTATGGACCAATGGATGTTCAATGTGAATGGATTTTACCAACAACAATAACTGAACTCAGTGCACTTAAAGAAAATATTACTAACTTAAGTCAATTACAACAATTAAAAGAATTAACATTCTCATCTATTCCACAATGTTCATTAGAACAATTAACATCATTAGAATTATATGAACCACAAGACTTTAATGGAATTGAAAAGTTAAAATGTCAAGAAATTCATATTTTTTATTATAGAGGACAAGAATTAAATCTTGATAAATCCACTGCAAAGAAAATCATTATTAGAGATTGTTTTTCTAATTCATTACATCTTGGAAATCAGGTAGAACGATTAGAAATTAGTAGTAGTGAATTTAAAACTATTGAATGTCCAGAATCATTAAAAGATTTGGTATTAAATAATCTTGATAATTTAGAAGAAATAAAATTCAACAAGTCTTTAAAAACATTCCAATGTATGAGGTGTATGAAACTTACTAAAATAGAATTACCAATAACTGTTGAATCTATCAAAATGATGAGAAGTGAACAAAAACATATTTTGAATTTAGACTATTTTAAAGAACACAATATAATCAATTGATTAATATATTCTTTTTATCATGTTATTCATTTTGACACAAAACGAAGTTCTTTCAATTTTTTAACTTTTAAAAGAAAGTTGTGTGTGGTGCTGACAAAATAGTAACGTCTCTTATTAGTATCAGTTATTAATAAACAGAGGTCTGTAACCTTGACGTTTAAGAATACTCTCAATTTTATTATTCAGCTCAATTTTTTATTTAAATTTTCTTATTTTTTATCTTGTTTTTTTTTGAATTTGTACCCTTTTTGTCATTACAACAATTAATAAAAACTTTTTCATTGAGAGTTTTGGATTAATAAACAATTTTTTTTTTGACACTTTCATTCTTTTTTCAACTCTTTTAAATAAAAAGATAATAACTTATGAATTGGCTAAGATAAAGTAACAATGACAATGTGTTTAACACGAGTACTGATGGTAATTAAAGAAATCAGAAAATACCTTGTAATAAAACAGATAACTTTTTATTAGACAGAATAGACAAGTCATGAAGAAAAATATCTTTTATAAAAGAGAATAATACTCAGTGTTTTAAGAATTAATAAAAATGAAAGAATTAAAACATTAGACCAATAAGAAGACAAATAAAGTATTATATTACTTATTAAGTACTAAATTAATTAAACAAAAATATTATTATGAAAGTTATTGTCTCATTATTTGACTTAACGAAACATTAGTGTTTGATATCAGAAATAATTGTCTTATATGAAGCCTAACATCAAACAATAAAAGAAGTAATTTTTTACTTCTTATTTTGTTTAACTGTTTTATTGATTTATTTTTCAAGTATATAAGTTATTTCTGTTCAGTTAAAATTATGTTATATACTATATATCATAAATTAAATGTAGTGTTGTTATTCTATTTGAATAAAAAAGAATTTAAGATAAAACTGTAGAATTTCAATAAAAGTTGTATTAATTGAAATTATGAGTATATATTTTAGTATAGATACAATAACCGTATAATACTTTCTATTTATTCTATTGCTTCTAGATGTGTATTCATTATGGAAGTTAAAAAATATTCATAAAACACTTATTATTATAAATTGAGTAATATAAACTTCAATTCATTTAGAAAAATAATATTATAGTTTGTTTTTGTTTTAGGAATACTTTCTTCAATACGCTAATTGAATTGTACTTGAGTTTTCTTTGTTATAGACAATATGAATTATTATAAAATTACCCAAGAAAATGTTCCAAGTTAAAAACAATAACAATAAATAAATCTAATGTCAATACCAAAGAGAATTTATTTGTTTTAGTGTTATAATATTACACTTATGGAAAAGGACTTAAAAACTATTTATCAAATTAATCTAAATAAAGAAATGGAGTTATGGTTTATACAAAAAAATCTTACATCAAACTTTCTTCCTTTTAATCTTGTTCTGGTTTGTTTTTTAACCCTGGTTTGCTTTTCAATGAACTTCAAAAATCTAAATGTGATTTAATAACCAAAAAAATACAGATGAGTGCATTATTACAACTACATCAAGTGTTAATTTTTTTTGAGCAGGAAATATTTATCTTTTCATGTTTGTTTTTCGGATATTTAGTTCTATATTATATTAGAATAGTAAAAATAACTAATGTTTTATGATATTATTTACTATTCTATTTATAGTAGACACTAAAATAGAATGATTTAGTAGAATGTTCATATCTAACTATTGTAACGAAAGAAGTCTTATACAAAAATTCAAATCTTACAATGTCATATTCTTTCTATTTCATTAATGTTATTAATTGATATCTTATTGTTGATTCACTATGTTATTGCTGAAAAATATGATTGTATTCCACTTGGTTCAAGCTCTGATAGTGGATTTTTATCTCAGACTGGAAAAACATCAAGAGATTGTGAGGACTTATCAAAGACAAATGATTATTCATATTACCTTAATCACAGTTATACTTTTTTAGGACCTGACATAGTTTGTAAAAAATTAACTTTTGATGGTAGTAATAGTAATTTGGAGATACAAAGTACAATGGACGCTTGGTTAAATGTGTCTGTAGTAGAGTTTTTAGAAAACTCTCAAGTTAAATTTGATGGTAAATTACATTCAAACAACGAATTTGTTTTTGGAACCAATTCAAAGGTGACGTGGTCTGGTTGTCTTTCACTTAACTATCAAGTAATTTTTAAAACTGTTCCAGAACTAAATCATCTTCAGTTGATTGTTTGGAACTCAGACTTCATTTTCCTTTCTAAAGGAGCGCTGCTTGAAACACAAACATTCAGAATCAAGAATCCTAGTGGTAATAATAAATGTTTTGATATAATGTCATTTAATAATCCTAATTCATTAAGCCCAAGTCAGGTTAGTGATAAGCACTATTTACTAGGAGATTTTAAAGATGGACTTAATATGCCAGAGGGTAAGGCATATTTATTATCAAACAATAAATTAATAAGATTTTGTCCAACTGGAACTGAATTAGATAGAACTGTTGTTTGTACAATTAATGGTTTTCAATACACTCAACCATCTTACAGTGATCCACCATTTGATTATCCACATTGTCCATGTGATGAGTCTAATGGTAAAACTAAATGTATTCTCAATTTTCAATCAAATATTGATTCAATTAACTTTAACATGGTAGGGATTGAACATACAACCATTCATGTTGAACATGATATTACATTATTTAACCTTGCTTTTGCAGAGCAAATTAATGTTAATGATGATGTTAAATTAGTAATAGCATCTGTTTCATTAATCGAAAAGTATAGTCAAAAGATACAACTTAATAACTTTGAAATTACAAATAACAGAGAAAAGGGTGTTAGGGCACAATTCAAATACAATTCAACAACAAATACATTGGAAATAAATGGAAATAATGAACTAAAACATTCATTAAATCAATCAAATAAACCATTAACTTTAATTATAAATGGTACTCTCACATGTAATTCTTTTGTTAATAATTCTGTTTATTATTTCACTAATTCTTCTTCATCAACACCATTAATAAATATTAATAATAATGGTAATAATAATATAATGATATTTGATGAAACAGTAAGATTAAATGGTCAATTATCAAATTGTATTGTTTTAACTGGTAAATCAAATGAAAAATTTAAATGTATTCAATGTAAAAAAGGATATTATTTAAATTCAAATAAAGAATGTCAAATTGGTTCACATTGTAATAAAACAAATGAACAAAATCATTGTATTGAATGTGAACATGGATATTATCTTAATTTAAATACAAAAACATGTGAAGTACTCAAAAATGGATGTAAAATTGGAAATGAAACATATTGTTATCAATGTAAAGAAGGATTTATTAAAGAAAATGGAGAATGTAAAGAAAAAGATAATAAATGTAATAAATCAGAAAGAAATTATTGTTTAAAATGTTCAAATGGATATAAAATAGAAAATAATCAATGTAATGGAGATAAAGAAGATCAATGTTATTATGAAGGAAATAAATGTGTATCATGTTCAAATGGATATACATTAAACAATAAAAAATGTTCAAATAAAGAAAAGAATCAAAATGGAAAGAATGAAGAAATATATTGTGAAAATGGAAAATACATTAATAATAATAAATGTATAGAATGTTCAAAATCAGAAATATGTCAAACAAATGATATTGAAATAAAATGTAAATATGAAGAATATTTAGATAATAATAAATGTATAAATAAAACATGTGAAGAAGATATGATAAAAGATCAAAATGGAAAATGTAATAATAATATTTCATATTGTTTAAATAAATCATATGTTAATGGAAAATGTGTTGAATGTTTAAATGGATTATTACTTAATTTTAAAGGAGAATGTATTAATACAAAAATAGAATATTGTGAAGAAGAAAATACATATGGATGTAAAAGATGTAAAGAAGGATATTATTTAACAAAAGATAAGAAATGTTTAAAATGTGATGATAAATGTGAAACATGTTATGGAATATCTACATATTGTATGAGTTGTTCTAATGATAAATATTTAAGAAATGATAAAACATGTCAATCAAATGAAGAATTAAATGGAACATGTTTACAAATATTAGCAGATGGAAGTGGATGTGGAATATGTAAGAATGGATATTATAGAAATGGGAAAGGATGTTCAAAATGTGAAAAAGAATGTTTAACATGTAATCAAAAAGATAAATGTATAATATGTGGAGAAGGATATTTTATGAGTTCAACAGGAATATGTAAATTAACAACAACAATTAAAGGATGTAAAGGAGAAATAGATAAAGAATATGGATGTAGAGAATGTTTAACAGGATATTATTTAATAAATAAAGAATGTTCAAAATGTGGAAAACAATGTATAACATGTTTAAATGAGAAAGAATGTAATAAATGTGAAGAAGAATATATAATAATAAATAAAGAATGTATTCATTATTCAAATATTAATAAATGTAAAGAAACAAAAAATAATAAATGTTCAAAATGTTCATTTTGGTATGGAATCAATGAAGAAGGAACAAAATGTAATAAAGAAATCGTATGGTGGATGATAATGATAATTATCATCATTATACTTATTATCATCATTATAATAATTATAATTATAATAATAATGATTAATTACATTATAAAACGGAAAGAAAAGAAAGAACAAGAGAAAACAACAACAATATTTAAAATTTCACAATCAAATATCAAATTCATATCACTTGGAGATGGAATAATAACAAATAAAAAAGAAATAGAAATAGGAGAAGGAGAAGAAATTGAAGTAAATAAAGAAATCAGAGAATTAATATGTATTGGAAATGAAAATAAAGAAAAAAAGAAAATACAAATAAGTAGTAAAGAAGAAAATGAAAAATATTCAATTAGAACAAACCCAAATATCATTACAATTGAAGGAGGATATGCATGTGAATTTGAAATATTCACTAAAATCAAATGTACTACTAAAATTAAAGAACAAATAATGATAATTAGTAAAACACTTAATAAAACACAAGAAGAAATAATTAAAAGTATTTCAATTAAAGGAGAAACACAAATATCAACACGACTTGATCCCGATGAAATAAAAGAAGAACATAAAATAGGAGAAGGAACATTTGGAATTGTATATATAGGAGAATTTAGAGGGAATCAAGTAGCAATTAAGAAAATGAAACAAATTGATAAAGATGAAAATAAAATGAAAGAATTTGAGAAAGAAGTAATGATGTTAGATAAATTTCGAAGTGAATATATTATTCAATTTTATGGAGCAGTATTTATT